GAACACACGAGGTAGATACCAAGCAGTTTGCAGCTAAAGCAAAAGAAAACCTGTTGCCATCAAGTCGATTCCGACTCATAGTCACCCTACAGGACAGAGTAGAACTGCCCGTAGGGTTTCCATGGCTGAAATCTTTACAGGAGCAGACTGCCACAACTTTCTGCCACGGAGTGGCTGGTGGGTTTGAACTGCCAACCTTCAGTTAACATCCAAGTATTAACCACTGCACCACCAGGGCTCCTTGAAGCTAAAAGAACTCAACTGAAATTCGAGGTGCTGCCAATCACAGGTGAGACAGAGTCTGCAGTTTGAATCTTGCCAATCTATCCTGATTTTTTTCAATACAGTAACACAATTTTACCAACACAATTTACTAAATGTAATTTCCTGATTTGTAATGTAACCACTAACATATAATAAACTGCTACATATAATTAAACTGAGTTTTTTTGTGTTTTGTTTTTTCCCAGTGAATTGAGATGGAGGAGGAATATAGTTTTTTGAAAGCTAAAAGCCTTTTCTTGTTTTTGCCATGGCTATTTTAAATAAGGAGTCCTTGGGTGGTGCGAACGGTTAACACACTCAGCTTCTAACTGAGTGATTAGAGGTTTGAGCCCACCCAGAGATGCCTCAAAAGAAAGGCCTGGCGATCTACTTTTGAAAAATCAGCCATTGAAAACTCTACGGAGCACAGTTCTACTCTGCCACACGTGAGGCCGCCCTGAGTTAGAGGCAATTCAACGACAACCGTTTTGGTTTTTTGTGGGGGGAGGGGGTTCTAGAGCACTTATTCTATTTGTTTTCTTTGATATTGTGCTTGCACAATACTGTTTTATTACTATAGTTTATTTCAGGATTAGTATTATTTGGAAAAAAAAAAAAAAAAGCTCCTAGCTGTTCACAGACTCTTATCTCACACAGAATTTTAGAATCAATCAGATTCTGTCATCTACCCAACCCAAAAAACTCCTCTTGAGAATTTTACTAGAAATACACAGAATTATTAATTATTTTGAGGGAGAAATGACAGTTTAATAATATTAAGCCTTCCTGCCTTTCAGAGTGTTGTAACTCTTCATTCATTCAGGTCTTTTTAAAATGTCCTTATAAGAGTTTTGGAAACGCCTCCATGAAGGTCTTATGTACTTCTTATTGGGCTAATACCTGAATACAGATTTCACTGTAATTGTGAATGAGAGCTTATTTTCTATTGTATTGATTATTACTGGTATAGAGCAGTGTTGATGATTTTGTAAGTGTATTTTGTGTCCAGCTCCTTGCTGCCTCTCTTCATGCTAACACTTCCCTAATTCTGTGTGGTTTCCTCTGTAGACAAGCACAGCATCTGCAAAGAATAAAGTCACATGAAGAAGAAAAGGAAAAAAAAAGTCTGTCTCTTCTCTTACAATTCTTGTACCTCTGATTTCTTTTTGTTGTCTGTTTTATTTTATTGTCCAGGATTTCTAAAGTTATGTTGAACATTAGTTCAGTTGATGGTAGCTAATACACTTGTCATGTTCTTGACCTTGAAAGGGAAGTTTTTAAGGTTTTTTTCATTTACTGAGTCTTAATGATAAATAAAGGTTAAAATATATCAAATGCTTCTTTGGTAAGTGCACTGAGTTGATTATCGGACCTCATCTTCATTCTATTAAGATATAAATGATCCTGAAAGATTTTTCTGTCTGGAGCCATTTTTGCAATCCTGAGTTAATCCATAATTGATCATGACTAACACACACATACTAATACATACATACAAATATCTATAGAAAAATATACATGTATACGCATATACATTTTATATACATATGGAGGATTTTAAAGCTATGGTCATGAGCGAAATAGGTCTGTATTTTTCTCATATTGTGCTCATCAAGTTTCAGTATAAAACTTACTCCCATCTCATAAAATTAATTCAACAGCTTTCCCCATTACTTAAGTTAGAGATATCTGTACTCACTAATAAAATCATATCAGTCTGTGACTTTTGGAGGTGGAAAAAAATGTGGAAAGCCTTATCATCATCATGATTTATTACTATTATTATTATTACATGGTGATTTTCTATTCCAGTTTTCTGTCCCATTTTGTGACAATTAAAGTTTTTTATATTTTCTGGAGACATATAAAAAGGCTCTTATTTTGTATTTTATTTCTTTGTAGCTCTATTTCCTTACTGGCTTTGCCAGAGGTTTATCAATCTTACACATTTTACAAAGATTCAACTTGGTTGCTGTTAATCTTTATTTTTAATTACATCTCATTTACTTCCTTCTCAGCTCTTTTGGTTTACTCTGTCACTTCATCACCAGCCCCAATGGTTTTATTCATTTATGTTGGGGTGCAATGGAATCCAGGTGTCTTAGTTTCCTAGTACTACTTTAACAAAATATCACAAAATGGGGTGGCTTTAAAGAGGAGAAATTTATTGTCTCACAGTTCTGGAGGCTAGGAGGCCAAATCAGGCTATCAGCTATGTTGACTCCTTCCAGGGCTCTGAGAGAGAAATTGTTCCATGCCTCCCTCCTAGCTTCTGGGGGCTCCCTGAAACCCTTGGCGTTCCTTGATTTGCATCTGCCTCCATAGTCACATGGCTATCCTTCCTGTCTAATCCTCTCTCTTGTCTTCTTCTTTTATAAAGCACCCCTCAGATTGGATTAGGACCCACCCTATTCCAGTACGACTTCATCTTAACTGATGACATCTTCAAAGGTGTTATTTCTAAACAAGCTCACGTTGACAGGCACCAAGGGTCAGGATACCACATATCGGGGGGGGGGGGGCGGCGGGACAGGAACACAATATGATCCATAATACCAGACATGCATTTTTTTAACCTTTATGTGTGTCCTAAAGTGTGAGAAGGTTGACAACCACTGGTCTATAACCATGTTCACAAACTTCTCTGATCATAAGGATTGTCTATGAGGAGTTTGATAAACATATATTCCTAGGTGATAACATTTAGTAGATACGATTCAGTTTATCTAGCCTGTAGCCCAAGAATTCATATTTTTAGAAAACCTTGGCAGGTGCTTCTGACTATCAACAAGGTTTGGAAATACTGAATTTGAGCACCTACAAAACATCAACAAAAACCTACTGCCATGGAGTCGATTCCCACTTATAGCAACCCGATATGGTTTCCAAGGCTATAAATCTCTATAGAAGCAGACTGCCACGTCTTTCTCCCATGCAGTTGCTGGTGGTTTTGAACTGCCAACCTTCTGGTTAGTTGTCAATCACTTTAACCACTGCACCACCAGGGCTCCCTTACAAAACACAGTCCAGTGTTAAAAGTATAAGATCTAAGATTTTAGGGATTGCTAAATTAGAAGTTAACAGATGTTTAAGAGTTTTCAGGAAAACGTGAGATGGCAAGTAATCCAGGAAGAGGAAAGAGTATTATTAAAGAACAAAAGTTGAGAGAAAGAAGGTCAGCTCGTAAAATTAAAAGTATTTAGTCTCATGAAAACGTAGAGTGCAAGAGAGGAGTAGCAAGAGCTAGACAGTTATATAGAAGCCACAGTATAAAGCCATATAAAGCAGAGTAGACTTCACCCCGAGAGGAAGGAGAAGTGATTCAAAGGGTTTAAAGAGGGAGAAGACATGAACAGATATGTTCTTTAGAAGGGTGTGTTTAGCTACAATGGAGAAAATTAACTGGAGAGAAAGCAGGTATGAAGACAGAGTTTACATCCTTGAGGTGAATATGTGATGGTGGCTTAAACTATGACACAGTTGAGCAGCAAAAGATTATTAGACATTTAGATATAGGTAAAAGATATACTGAGTAGAATGAACAGTAAGTAGTGATGACATCTACCCTGAGACCAGAAGAACTAGATGGTGCCAGACTACCACTACCAACCCGTTCTGACCAGAGACACAATAGATGGTCCCGAATAGAATGGGAGAAAAATGTAGAAAACTCAAGTTCTTAAAAGAAAAAAAAAAAAAAAAAAAAAAAGCCAGACTTGCTAGACCAGTAGAGATAAGAGGAACCCCCAAGACCAAGACTATTGCCCTCAGATACCCTTTAAATAAACTCTGTACTGAAACCACTCCAGGAGGACATCCTTCAGCTAAATAACAGATTGGCTGATAAAACAAACAATATCACCCATGAGTACCGTGCTTCTTTAAAAAATTATCTATATGAGACCAACAGTCAACATTTACCTTACAACAAAGATGAGAAGGTAAGGGAGGCCAAGGAAGCTAGATTAATGGAAACAGAACAACCAGAATGGAAATAATCAGAATGTTAACACATGGTGGAAAATATAACCAATGTCAGTGGACAATAAATATAGAAATTGTTAAACGGAAACCTCATTTGCTCTGTAAACTTTCACCAAAAACACAATAAAATATTATTTAAAAAAAAGAAATTAGTGATGACAGGATGTCAGGTGTATAAGAAAAGGAAGAGCAAGTGCACCTGCATCGATTTGTTGCTCATGAGTATTCTCTGAGCTATATTTTGGATTTAATATATTTACCTACAACTGTTCAGGCATTCTCTAAAATACTGAAGTAAAAGTGAGAATTTTTATACTTTATCCAAAATTATCAGAGATTTTAAATAATATTGATTATAAATAAGTATTCAAGCTCATAGTAAGTAAAAATGACTAGAGACAGGTTCATTTCATAGTATGTCATATTCCTTGTCATTTCAGTTTTGGTCTGATTTAAATTTACCCATCTTCCTGCATGCCTGGAATAACACCACAACACACTCATACCCTGAGGCACCACTGAGTTCAGTGGTCTCACCAACAGAGACTGACCTGAGGATAAAGGAAATCATAAAGAAATTAGACCAGCTGATCCCACCCAGACCTTTCCCCAACGTGAACACCACCACCAGCGCAGCACAGAGCAAAGTCACTGTGCTCAATCCTCGAGACACCTACTGCATAGGGGAGCAGCTAGACCTCCTGCTGGAGGTGAGGGACCACCTGGGACACAGGAAGGAGTATGGTGGGGATTTCCTGAGGGCCAGGATGTCTTCCCCAGCGCTGAAGGCAGGCGCTTCAGGAGAGGTGACTGACTTCAACAACGGCACCTACCTTATCCGCTACACTCTGTTCTGGGAGGGCCAGGTGTCTCTGTCCCTGCTGCTCATCCACCCCAGTGAGGGGGTGTCAGCCCTCTGGCGGGCAAGGAACCAAGGCTACGACAGGGTGATCTTCACTGGCAAGTTTGTTAATGGTACCTCCCAGGTTGTCTCTGAATGTGGCCTGACCCGAAACACAAGTGCAGAACTGTGCCAGTACCTGGACACTCGAAACGGAGAAGCCTTCTTCTGTGTGAAACCTCAACACATGCCCTGTAGGGCCCTGACCTACATGACCACCAGGAATCGAGAAATTTCTTATCTTACTGTCGAGGAAAAAAGTCTTTTCCACAGGTAAATATACTTTTAGATACACTGAGAGGGGCTCAGAGGCAGAAGCGTATCACCTATTTTGATTAGTATTGAGCGTGATCCTCTCAAATGCCTCCTCTATTCAGGGTTCAGGCCAGACGTGTGGTGTCTTCATAGGGCCCCCTGTTCATGACTCCCACTGCCAAGGTTTGCATTTTCACTGAGTTGGTTAATAAAAGGGGGCTGCACAAGGTAGGACTCTATAGCATATATACCCATACTTCTCCATAATGACTGGCTGAATCTCAGATTCAGTCTTTTTTTTTTTACTGTAGACCTAGGATTTATAAAATATGTTCAGTGGAAAAGTATTCCGCTGTGTTAACAGGTGTTACACCATAAAAGGATTCCTTGAGCAGTGCCTGGTAACATCCATGTTCCTTCATCCTCATGTCGGATTCTGTACATTCTGTCTCTTAAACGTCCTTTGTATTCAGCCATTTCTCTCTATGCCTAGTGCTATTACCTAAGTTCAAGCCACCATTATCTCATCTAGATTACTTTTAACAGCTTCCCAATTAGTCTCTCTCTCACCAACTATGCCCTCTTTAATTCATTCTCCACTCCGCACCCTTAGTAACCTTTCCAAAAAGGCTCTCCTATTGGTCATTTCTAGTTGATCTCATGAGAGATATTTCTTAGTAGCTACGGTTCAGGTTGGAGGAGTTCTTCAGATTTACCAAGTTGTGACCTAGAAATTCCTGGAAGCCCCTGTGTCATAGTTACCTAGTGCTGCCATAACAGAAATACCACAAGTAGGTGGTTTTAAAGAATAGAAATTTATTTTCTCACAGTCCTGGAGGCTAAAGTCCATATCAGGGTCTTGGTCATGTTCATTTCTTCCTTGTCAGTAGTCCCGGGCATTCCTTGGTTGCTTAGCTTATAGATAATCGTCACATGTCATCTGTCTTCCCCCTTATGTATATCTACTGTGTCTATTCTAGTCATTTTATAAATCAGAAGTGGTCTCAATTGATCGATTGATTACACTGCATTGCACTGTATCATGGAAGGTGATTATACTACATTAGATTACATTATGGAAGGTAATCTGCTCTACCCAAGGACAACTGATTAATCATATATAACTACTCCACAACAGCAACTAGACTAGTATTTGGTCAAAAAACTGAGAACCACAGCCTAGCCAAATTGACACATAAAATCAACCATCACACCCTGGTTGAAGACGCCTTCATAAACTGAAGTATAAGCATACTTCTATCAATCATGGCAACACCAACAGCATGCGTTTCTCCTCTTGCTTACAAACAGATGCTTATTTCTTGGTCTCCCTGTTCTCCACTAACCTGGAAAACACTTCATTGCTTAGAATTAACTATCAGGGTCTCTTCATGGGTCGCTTTGAGGATTGACAAAGGGTAACTATCCTATCTGTGGTCACCACAAATTCAAGAACCTATAGGTCTTTCTCTTGCCAATTCCTGAGACCAACTATCAGTTCCAGACTCTAGCTCATTTGCCCACTTTCCATAAGCCTCAGGGGCTCAGTCCACTGCCTTTTCCTTTCCATTCTGCCACCATCCATTTTATTCCTTGGGATTCCTCTCCCCTAAGACAAGCTACAGGGAAGAATGCTAGACTCTCGGCACTGCTTTCTTAGCAGTTTCCAAAACCAAGTTTATGTCTTTTTCTCTTAAGGATTCAAAAGATATTGTAATTGCAAAGAGGAACTAAAGAATAGATACCAAACATGGAAAAAAATGACATGCAATTCAGAATCTTACCTAGTTATCCAAGTTTTGGCTCCTGATCCATAGTCCTTGACTCCCCTCTGAAATCAGTAAAAGCACAGTTGAGTTTCTGTTTCTTTCCTTTTATCTCTCATTGTGTAGTGCACCAAATTTCTCCCTACACACTACCAGTCTTTATACCTAAGTCCCAGTAAGGGTGAAAGACATGCTGATTCCCTCCCTCTTCTTGGGATTCAACCTGAAGAGGCACCCAAACCAGAAGACCAGATACCACTTACATACCTGTTGAACCTGGCACCTGGGTTCCCATTCCTCTTGCCTGGTCTTACATAAACACATACATGAGTGTGAAACAAAGCATGGGCCAAAGGGAGGGTAAGAGCTTTGAAGCAGGAAGAACCAGATAGTCTTTCATCAACAGAAGAAAATAAATACAATGTACATTTATGCATCCATCAGATTGAACACTAATCTCTACCAGGAACTTTGATAAATGTTAGGGACACAGGAGTCGACCAGGCAAATCCATTACCTTCCTCCATAAACTTACAAAGCAAGTTTCTGGGAAAATTTGAAAGTAAGTGTAGCAGGAAACATGGGTAAAGAAGGTCCTGTGATTAAAAGGTTTTCATGCCATGTTAAGGGGCCCAGCACCCTTAGTAACTGATGCAGAGACAATAAAGATTTTAAGCAGTAATGCAGTTGCATTTGTAATCAGAATGGATGCTCTAGCACTTGTGTTGAAGAATTTTGGTGGGGTAAAACAGACAACCTAGCCAATTAGAAGCTCGCAATATTCTAAGAAATATATAATGTGAACTTGAATAGTTAATGTGAAGCAGAAAGGGAGAAAGGTACTTGCAGATTAGAGCTGCACTGAACTTCAGGTGCTCTTAGCAGGGCAGTATTCCAAAATTCTAATTCATTTGCAATGCCCAATATGTCTAAAATTTATATCAGCAATAACATTTAAAAATCATCCTTCTCTCCCAAGCAGGTGATTCATCTTATCTATATTGTGTGGACAGGCAGAAGGCTAATTAATTGTCCTATTTTTTGAAGGTCCAATGTGGGAGTTGAAATGATGAAAGATCTTAAACACGTTGCTGTTTCCCAATGTAACAGTAAGTTGGTTCTGTCCCATGGTAGGCATTGCTTGACAGTCTTTTCAGGGACATTCTTACAGAGAGGAAAGTTTATCAGTACCAACCCTAGTAATAATAGTTGTCCTGGAGCTCAATTTCTAGCAGTTGTCTATTGGGACAAACACCTTGGATTTTAAAGAGAGAAATCAATTCTAGCAAATAGTTTGAAACTTTGTTAATTACATATTTCATCTCAATGTATCCAAAAGAGAAAATATTAGTATCCTATATTTATATTTAATCGTGGGAGCTTGCCTCAAAGGGCCAGTGACTCTGTCTGAGGCACTAGGCAAAATGTCTTTATTAGCCATTCACAGCTTCCGAGTAGGAATATTTTGGTATGGTTTCCTAATTCTCTGTTGGCATAGCCTCCTCACTTTTAGTTGATGCACTCAACAATTCTATACAGAGTTTCTATTTTACTAAACATGTTCTAATGGTAAACACAAAGCCATGTTATTTAGAAAATAATAATTGTTCACATTATCTTAGCTTCAAATTGACTTTCTATAAAGCCCATCTTAGCTTAGCAATAACTTTCGTTATAAGACTTACTTCAGCTTATAATGATTGATTGCCAGTACTTATTCATTTATTCAGCAAACGTTTATTGAGGATCTAATGGATACGAGGCATTATGGACAAATAGAGAAGAATAAATGCTCCACAAGGTTGCTATCTGAAAGACATGCAACAGACCAACTCTATGAAGAAAATAAAAAGGCAGAAAATTTCTGTTAAAGCTAGTATTTGACTGAGTCTTGAAGGGTCTCTGTAGTCAGAGAATGAGGGGAAAGAGAAACCTCATAAAGATCATGAGTAGGACTGCCAGAATTAGCAAATAAAAATACAAGATTCCCAGGCAAATTTTAATTTATAACTGCCTATGCATATATACAAGGTCCCTGGGTGATGCAAACAATTTGCCCTGGACTGCTAACCTTAAGGTTGGCAGTTGAGATCCACCCAGCAGTGTTGCAGAAGAAAAGCCTGGAAATCTGCTCCCATAACATTTACAGCCAAGCCATTGAAGATGTGCCCTAGACAGATGCACCATGCTGTCCCTCTGCAGCAAAGACCCAAAAAACTAAGTAAAACAGATACAAACATCAACCTTTGGACCCTACGCATCAAATGAAGGGATAATGAACTAAAACGTAAGGAGAAACTGACAGAAAACAGAGAAAGATGAGAGATACGGAGTGAAAGTCTGCTGCCAACTAACATGGCACCACGTGGCCATCTTGAAGCACAGCCAGCAACGACACTAGACAGGATGTATGAGAAGGCAACTTCACAGAGCTCCCAATAGGAGACAGAGCACTCAGCAACCAGAGAAACAAGCTTTCCTACCCCTTATCATTCTACTCCATATGCTACCTCCCCTTTTCCCACCGGCCCCCCAGGTCTGCTCTGACCCCAACCATCAGCTACCACTGTGCCATCCTCTTTTTATTCCTTTCTCTCTTCCTTCTCCTTCCCACCTAGCCCTGTACATCATCTCCCCCCTTGTGGCCAGCCCCCACCGTGCTGCCATGATTAGTGCATCCCCAGCACTGAGGGCCGCTGCCACAACAAGCCTGACCACCCCTCCCCTCCTGCCAGTCAATCAGCTGCTGAATGGTGGGAAGCGAGCCCAAAGCACTCTCTGTCTGACACCTCCACCCATCTGGTGAGGGGCTGTGAATGTTCCCAAACTACTAGACCAAATTCAGAAGACAGACAGTGCCCACCCAGTCCATCCTCAGCCACCTCACCAAATCTGTGTACAGCAAAGTGGGCTTGTCCTGCCTGCTACTGCCCTGCTCAATCAGACAAGATGGTAAGAGCTATCATACTGACAGACAAGCAAGCAGCAAAGCATACCCAGAACACCCACCCTGACATATCAAAACAAAACAAAAAAGCAGTACAAAATTAGCGAACATACAATCAATAAATAAAGAAAATAATACAATGTCTAAGGAACAGCAGACAATAATCCAGACATAAAAAAAGCAGGACAAGATGGCTCCAGCAAGTAACCAAATTAAGAATCAGATACCCTTCCAGTACAAGAAAAGGCACTGGAACTACCTAAAACAGAATTCAAAAGACTAATATTTAGGACTCTCCAAGAGATTAGGAAAGAGATGAAGGGAGGGAAAAGAACAGACAAAACCAAGGAAAAAATAGACAAAATCATGGGAAACATAGAAAAAAAAAGAAAACATAGCCAAAATCAAGGAAAACACAAATAAAGCAATAGAGAAGTTCAGGAAAACAATACAAGAACAAAATATCAAAATAAAGAAACAATTATAAATCATGCAGAAACAGCAACCAGAAATCCCAAAGAAAAACAAAAACAATTCAGAATGGATAACTCAATAGAAGGTTTTAAAAGCAAATTTGAAAAATGGAAGACAAAATCAGTGAGATTAAAGACAAATCCATGGATGCCACTTTGTTTGAGGAAAAATCAGAGAAAACAATGAAGAAAAATGAAGTAAACCTAAGAATGATGTGGGACACAATCAAGAGCAAAAATTTGCTCATGATCAGAGTTCCAGAACAAGAGGAGAAAATGGAAAACACAGAGAAGGTAGTTAAAGATTTGCTGGCAGAAAGCTTTCCAAAGATCATGAAAGATGAAAAGTTAAACACCCAAGAAGTACAATGAACCCCATGTAGGAAAAGCCCCAAAAGAACGTCACCAAGATATATCATAATGACACATGCCAAAACCAAAGACAAAGAAACAATCGTGAGAGTAGTTTGAGAAAACAAAAAGTCACATACACAGGGGAAAGAATAAGACTAAACCCTGATAACTCGGCAGAAATTATTCAGTCAAGAAGGCAATGCGATGACATACATAAAACCTTCAAAGAAAAAACTGCTGACCAAGAATAATAATATATACTACAAAACAATCTCTTAAATATTATCGTGAAATTAGGACATTTCCAGATAAACAGACATGAAGGGAATTAATAAAAACCAAACCAAATTTACAAGAAATATTAAAGAGGGTCCTTCAGTTAGAGACAACATCAAACAACCTGAGTCTAGGACATAGCGCAGCTTCAGCCAGATACCAACCTAGGTAAACAACTCTCAATAATAAAACAAAGCTAAAAGAGAAACACGTCAATCTGTAAATGATGACAAACGTCAAAACAATAAAAGGGGAAATAAATGGTGTAGGTATAGAACTTTCAAATGGAGAGAAAGTCAAAGTGACATCAAATAATAAAAGATGGGTTCAAACTTAGGAAGGTAAGGGTAAATTGCAAGGTAATCACAAAGAAAGTAAACAAACTGACTCATCAAAATAAAAAAGAAGAAAAACAAAGACTCAGTAAACACAAAATCTATAATAAAAGAAAAGAAAATCCACAAACAAAAGGAACTCAGCACAGGTAAGTATGAGGAAAAAAGAAAATGTAAGCCATCCTTTTTTCTTTGTTTTGTTTCTTCTCTCTCTACCTTCCTTCCTTTCCTTTCTTGCACACACCTAGCCCAGTGTGTCATCCCTGTTCCTTCTTGACAGGCTGTGCCACACTGCTCAGCTAAAGAGCCACCAGTACACAACTTCCTCGGGCCCAAGCCACCCCCATCAGCAAGCTCCCTCATGGTCATTTTTTGTTTGTTTTTGCTTTTGTTTTTATTTTGTTGTTGTTGTTGTTTCTTCTCTCCCTTCCCTCCTTTCCTTTCTCCCACCCACCTAGCCCCATGTCCCACCCCTTCTTCTCAACAGGCTATGCTGTACGACTCTGCTAGAGAGCCTCTGGCACACAATCTCCCCAGGCCTGTTCTGCCCCCACAGGCTGGCTCCCTCAGTGTCAGATTTTCTACTTTACCTTTCCTCTTCTTCCTTTTCCTTCTCCCGCCCATCTAGGCTCAGCGTTGCCTCTGTCCCTTCCTGACAGGCCATGCAGCACTACCCAGCAAGAGAGACATCAGCTCACTGCCACCCCAATTCTGCCCCACCCTCAACAGCTGGCTCCCCTAGCACCATATTTATTTTGTTGTTTTCTTGTTTTTAATTTTTTATTTTTGTTGTTGTTTTTTCTCTCCCCTTTCCTTTCCTTTCTCCTGCCAACCTAGCCCCGTGCTCCCCCCATGCCCCTTCTCAACAAGCCAAGACACACCACTCGGCTAGAGAGTCATTGGCACACAGGCTTGCCAGGCCTGCTCTGCCTGCACCTGCCAAATCCTACTGTGATGCCATTTTAATTTTTTTCTTCATTTTTTTTCATCTGTTTCCGTATGTTTCTTCTCCTCTTTCTCTCACATGCTTAGCTATACACATCACATCCTCTCCCTTCCCTCCTGCTTATCTGCACCTTGTGCTGAGCACCATTGCCCTGAGTGGCGCCAGTGCTGACCACCAGACCCCACCCTGCACTGCCTCCCAGCCCACCCCATTGGTCCCAGTATGTGCCACAAATGACCCACGTCTGTCCCTCTCCCTACCCTGCTGGACCTGCCCTGCTGCACCATAGCTGAGAAACTGGCAAGGTAGTGAGAAGTATCATGCAAACAGACGAGGAAGCAACAGAGCACACCCAGGCTGCCTGCCCAGACATAACCAAATAAAACAAAAATCAGGATAAAACATACAAATCTACAATCAATAAATAAAGAAAATAATTCCTGAATGTCCTGGAGACAGCAGACAATATCACAACATTAAAAAATTGGACAAGATGTCTCCAGAAAACAACCAAAATAAAACACCAGATGATCTTCAGTAGAAGAAAAGGCGCTGGAACTACCTGAGAGGGAATTCAAAATTCTAACATTCAGTGGTCTTTAATGGATTAGGAAAGAGATGAAGGAAAATGCAGACCAAAAAAACGAAAAATAGACAAAATCATGGAAAATACAGACAAAATCAGGGAGGACAGACAAAGCAATGGAAAAATTCAGGAAAATAATACAGGAACAAAATGCCGAAATAAGCAAACAACTAATAATAATAAAAAAACAGTAATTAGAA